GTTTTTCCTCCCCACTGTCGCCAAGTGTTTGCTCAAGGGGGATTTGTTGGGTTTTCCCTATGTAATAATATTGATAACAGTAAGGTCTAGACCTTACTTTGTAAAGTGTCCTGAGATGACTTGTTGTGATTTGGCGCTATACAAATAAATTTGATTTGATTTGATAAACTGAATCCATCATTAATATTCAACACAGGTGGTCTGCTGTAAATGTTTGTTCCCGTTTACCGGAGCCTCTAAACCAGGGGTGTCAAACTGCAGTCCTCGAGGGCCGCTGTGCTGCCTCCCACCTTTGTGTCATCTGTCACAGCTCTGGGCATCTCTTCGGTTGTTTCATTTGACTCCGCCTCCTCCCTGCAGGATAAAACAAACACCTGTGTGAGCCTTCCCCTAAAGCAGCAGGATATCATGGTGCAGGTGATGTGAGGAACCAGAGTGGACCAAGAGGGGGCAACATTTACAGGAACAGTGGTGCTGGCAGCAGATGTTACCGTCCTAAACATGAGGAACACGTACAGCAGTTTCCTCCGCAGGAACACAGGGAAAACTCTCAGTTACTACAGGATCGCACGTCTTACAGGACTACAGCTCTGCTGCGTCACCATGTCAGGGCACTGAGCATTCATCACTGGGATATTCATTTATCTCCATTAGATACATAAAAAAAATTGGGAGCAGGTTTCTTCCTCAGGAAACACGTGAGGCCAGTCTCTTTCCAACAACCAGATCCACAGGCTGAGAACGGCGTCACTTTGTGCAAAGCCCCCCCCCCCCCACTACACAGTGAGCTTAATGATGACCAGTGTGTGTGTGTTCACCTTTGCCCTCGGTCCTCATGTGTGTCGTAGCTGATGTCGACATCACTACACACTGATGGACTGTTTCTATAGCGACGACCTCCGACCCTGAAGGCATCCATGGCATGACAGAGCTCTGCCTCCTCTACTCCAAACACCTTAGTGTAAAGCAGCTCGTACAGAAACGCTACACACACACACACACACACACACACACACACACACACACACCACAACTGTGTGAACAACAACTCATACAACACACAGACTCAATCTCTGATCCATACTCACACTGGCAGAGGGCAGCGGAGGTGGGATAACTCTTGGGGTAAATGATGTCATAGTGACCGTTGATGGAGCAACACAGTGTCACCTAGGCAACAGAGAAGGCTGACAGTCAGCACTGACCAATCACCTCAAAGTTTAAGGTCAAGTGAGCTGAGAAGTGACTTCAGGGTTTAGTTCAAGATCAATGTTTGCTCTGAACTTGAGCTCTCATACACATGACATTTCTTTGCCAATCAGCTCCCCTGCACCTGAGGACCATGTCTGTTAGCCAATGAAAAGAGAGCAGGTGTGTCATTGTTCCTGTTGCTTTTATTAGAACTACTGTTACTATAGCAGTTGCTGCAGCCATTTGTTTTATGTATGTTTTGAATTATTAGAAGCTAAAATGAGGCTCTGTTTTACAGACACTGCATGTCCAGGAATGTTCCTGTACAGGGACTCACTGTTCTACCTGACAGGGTCTAACCTACAAGCAGCCGGCCAGTGAGGCCCCTGAGGTGGTGAATGATCAGCTGATCAACACTGGATTCCCCCTGGAGCACAGTACCTATTTGTTCTGACTACTTGAGGCCAGTGTGTCTGCAGCATGTGATGTGTTGCTGGTTAACCAGTGGATTAACGACCCATGATGTTACCGTCAGCACTACGCTACCTGTGGGAATTAATTTCACTACTTTGGGACTGTATGTGGTCATGTGGGGGAAGATGCAGCGACCATCGGTTGGATTTACCGACCTTGGAGCTACTTTAAAGGAAGTGATGTTTCCACTCCTCGGTGGGACTTAACAGTGGCCTATCTATGGAGGAGACATCCGTATTAATTAGTGCCGCCATGGTTCGTCCACTTGTGACGACACCGGCAGCAGGATTTGTGTGCTTTTATGAACTATCATTGTTTTTAAGAAGAGGCTTTCTGGTTTTATGATTCTGAAACAATTAGATTATTTGGAGTTATGAGGAGTGCAGCGCTGATCTAGAAGTACCCAAGATGAAACGTTAAATGGCTGGAAACGAGTAAATGAGCAGCCACGGGTTCTGACTGTTTGCATTGTTCTTCCTCACCTTGTCCACAAAGTCATCCTCTGAGATCACAGTCGCTGGTTTCCCTGGGTAACGGTAGATCAGGAAGCAACGTCTAAACACACACAATAAACCATATTAAATGTTAGTTATTAAAATTATTGCTTTGCCCTTAAGGAGGTTACCCAAAGAAGTCACGTCCCGTAATCCTCCACCTAACACCTACTTCATAAAACTCTAAACCTACAATGAAAAATGGTCATGTTAAACAAATTCATTGATAAAATGAAAACAGCTGAGTCTCTTCCAACAAACATTTAATTTTATTTTCAGTGGTCAAACTATGCAGGAGTGTGCGCACCTGAGCTTTTCTCACCTGTACAACTGAGAGAGAGCCTTGATCTCCACCTGACCCACCGTCTCCTGAAAACACACATCCACCATTACACCTGTTCACAGGTAAAAGGCATTCACCTGTCAATGGACTGAAGGGTCAAAGTTCACAGCAGCTCACCTTTGGGTCCTCCAGACGCTCCAGGTATTTCTCAAACGACCCTTCAACAAACTGAAACAGAAAACGGATCTGAACTATAGGAGCCACTCGCCAGCCGGCTGGCAGATAAGTCTTATTCTCTCTTTTATGTGACATTTTAAATCAGAAGTGCTGCCACCACATCTGGCACTGGTACCTTCTGAGAGACGTGGGGGCACCAGTATGAAAAATTCATCTGGATCCCTGTACATATGCGTCACTTACACAGAATAATCAAAATCACTTAGAATTAGATCCATGTGCGATTATAAAATCATACATTGATCTAATTCCAGTTTAGCTTCTGAATTCCTGCTAAAGCCAGAGAACGACAACCATGAAGTATCCTGGTTGGTCCGTGTGTTTCAGGCCACAGGAGAGACATGCCAGTTGTTTAGTCCACACCAGAGCTGGACTGAAAGTGTTCACACCAGCACACATGAACCAAACTCACCAGGCTAACACACCAGAGTGGGATTTAACCAACAGGTGAGTGAAGCCCAGTGTTTGGACCTGATCTGTGAACAAGCTTCTGTAACACGAGGTCAGAAACAGAATCTGTGTTTAATAATTGGACACATCTATGCGATACCCAGTCTGATTAACAGGGACCAGTCGCTGGTTAGTTAGCTAGCAGGAGTCCCAGGTGTAAACTCACCGGTTCAAAGCTTGATTTGTTGGCTCTCATGAAGTTGGCGCAGTCCTGGCGGATCTTCTGATGGTAGTTCTGAGAGTAATACAGCTAAACACACACAACAACAACAACAACAACCAGTTTAAAAAGTCAGCTCAATGTTCAGTTCAGAGGATTTGGAACTGGCCGGACAGGACCAATCAGGACTAAAAGACCAGACTGACAACTCTAATGATCCATCACTGACTGACTTGCCTTTATCATTAACTAAATAATCATTATTAGGGCTACAATCAACAATTACTTAAATTATTGATTCTACCAATTATTTTTGCAGTTGATGATTTTGCTTATCAAAGTCAGAAAACAGTGGAAAATGACATCTGTAATTTCCCACAGCTTCAGATCTGCAGAAATATTTATATTTATATGATCAGATAAAAACAACAAATGTTTGGAACTGTTGCTTGAAATCTTTCTAATCAATTGTCTGTAAATTAATTTTTTGTCACGTGACTAATCGCTGTGCTCAGCTTAATGTGTCCCAATGCAGGCTGGAGGTTTTATTTAGGAAGTGTCACACTGGGACACGCACGTCGTCACGGTGACGCGCAGCCTCATAATGACACCTTGTCGTCAGTTTTTCTGTTTTCCACATTAGAACCGAAGACAAAACTATGAAGTAACACATGGAACTGCATCAAGCTAAATATAATGGATTCCTCAAATCACCGCCGTTTGTGTGGACGGCAGCTGCGCAGACCGTTGGCAACAAGCCGAGTCGCCCTGTGTGTCCTGGTCAGCCTGGTGCGTGTGCGCGGAGTCCCACACTACCCCTTGTCCCTCTCTGTACCCAAAGGCCAACCCGAGGACGTGCGAACATGAGACAGCGCCAACAGCTCAGAGTTGACCCCACTCTGACCCCAGACAGAGGTGGCGTCCATTAGTCTGCGGCCTCACAAACCCTCAGATCAGAGCCCACAGACACTTTCCAGGGATGCACACACACCTCAGCATCAGCTGCTCAGAGGACACTGTGTGGATCAGGCCTTCGTGGTCGAACTGCTGCAGGGAAACCGTGAGGAGGAGGAAGAAGAGAAACACTAGGACTGGACCTTAGACCAGAGGGAGTGTGGACCTTGGTCTGACGAGTCCAGATTAGAGGTTTTTACTGCATCTTTGTGAGACCAGAGAAGATGCTCTGGTGTGTGAAGCATAGAGGAGGAGCTGTGATGGTGTGGGGGGCCTAGTTGGAGCTTCATTCACAATTCAGGACACATCTAACCAGTACGGTCACACACCGTCCCATCCGGTCTGAGCTCAGGGCCCATCGCCTAAAACATGTCTGCTCCACACTTTGCTCTCTGCAACGCGCGTCACTTCACCTTTAATGTGAGAAAGACAGCAAAGCCACAGAGACGCTGTGTCCAGACTCTGGTGCTGTGACGAGTCGCGCCACAAGCCGCGAAACACTCTGTAGAGACAGGACTCGGATATCGAAGCAGGTCTGCTTATTGGTTCATCGTTTCAACCTTTGTCCCTCGCGTGTCACTGGACTTTAAGAAGCAGCCACAGTACCTGCTCGCTCTCAGCCTCACCTGGGGCTAACACCTGAACGCCACCGGCACCACCTGCTGCCCCCTGACCTGTTCCCCACTAGCTCAAACCTGTAGCCCGGCTCACCTGCTCTGACACGGCTCGGAACAGACTGGACGCGTCCCGGGCCACCATCTTCCTGTAAAGTCCCAGACTGGACAGGTACTCGTCCATGTTGACGAAGTACTTCTTCAGGCCTTTGTGCATCCCGCTCAGCTACCGACAGCGTCCACGGAAAACTCGGTACATACGGTAAGTCAGACCGGTTCCAACACACAGCACAAGCACCGCCGCCGCCCACAGGTGAGTTTAATCAGGTCTAATGAGCGCGTGAGGCCGCGCACCGCCGCTGAGGCGTTCACGGACCGACCGCGGCTCAGACATATCCATCTGTGTAGTCTGAAGTTTGTTTCCACAGAAAGGAGGATAAAATAAAAATGGATTTAAAACAAAATTAGATTTGTAAATAGTTATGCGAAAAAAGTATTCATCTTTGTGCTGCTCCTAAATGTACAGATCACATCTGTAACTGCCAATAATAAAATTCTGGAAAATATTTCATCACAACATCCATCCATCATCTATACTGCTTATTCTGAAGAGGATACGCTGAATTCAGAGGTGTGTCAATAGTTTTGTCCTCCCCAGCTACATACATGAGAGGGTCAGAATATTAGGAACACCATAAACTAAAGGATGGAAAACAATAAAAACAGCACCGAGAGAAATACAAAGTACACTTATGAAAATGAATGCAATCAGGAAATGTTTCACAATAAGAGTTTTAATTTCTTCAGTTGTTTCATTTATATACTTATTTTACAGAATTTGATAATGTGATTATTATTATAAGTTTATTTCTTGGTTTAATATTAAAGCTAAGACCACAATTTGACCCTGAACAGCTTGATACACCTCAGGGTGAACAGGTGTGTGAGTCACATGATGCAGTACTGTACAGCTGCAGTGGGGAATCGTCGGTTCCTCTCCGGTTTTTCTGTTGGAATCCAGACCCTTCAGCCACACATACTCATACAGAGCCACTGAGGAGATAACAGACAAAGCCATGAAGAAGAACATCGTGACTAGTGTGGGGAGCGGCAGACACTGGAACTCTGCCGAGTCCAGGTGTCAGCTGCTCATTAGCTAGATGTTTGCCTTTAAGTTGTAAAGGCAGTGCTGGAAAGTAACTCAGTACATTCAGCAATACCACTGTAATACCACAGTGTAAAAACACCTTGTTACAAGTAAAAGTCCTGTATTGACATGGTCACCTAAGTAAAAGTACAAAGTATTAGCATCAAAACATACTTAAAGTGCTAGAAGTAAAGTACCATTTAACATTAATGTATATCATCTGATTTGATTAGAACGACTGATGCATGGCTGTATTAATTACTTTTAATGTTGCAGCTGGTAAAGGTGGAGCTAGTTTCATGAGCTTATATGCTTACACTTTGAAGTATTTTATATACTGCTATGTAGCTGATGAATTTTCCACCGGAGGTCAATAAAGTCAGGTTTTCGTCTTAATTTGGTTCTGAAAAGTAGCTAAAATTATAAAATAAAAACTAGTAGAAAAAAGTACAATATTGGCCTCTGAAATGTAGTGAAGTCAAAGTATGGAGTAGAACAAATACAATGAAATACTTAAGTACAGATACATCAAAATTGTACTTAAATATAATACTTGAGTACATGTACTTAGCCACTGTTTGTACCCGAGTACTTCCATGTCCAGCTCCTTCATACTGTATGCTTTGTGACAAGGGTCAGCCATGTGTTTATGATACAGGAAATGTGGATTTAACATTTTTCTGTAGAGAGCGACGGTAAAATTTATATAATATTTAAGAAGAATTTTGTAATTTCTCTCCAAGTATATTGTGTTGTCCTACTGCAATGTAAAGTGGCTGCCATCTTACCATTTGGCTATTTTTGCTTTTGAATGCAGCAGTGTAGTTTAATACATCACATTTATCCATTGGTCATTTTTTTTATTCTTATGTGCATCTGAAAAGTAACCTGCAGTCAGAGAAATGTAGTGCAGTAAAAGTACTGCCTGCTTAATTGTAGTGGAACTGAAGTACACAGTAACAGATGATGGAAACACTCAAAGTACAGTAGTGCAGTAAATTTACTGCATTACTTGTGCTTACTGTGCTCATTATCAAGTGGTACCAGTACCCAGATCTCAGCTTCATCCGAGTGTGACCGAGACATTTGGTCGCATCACATCCATCATTAGTAACATCAGAAAAAACACCTGGACAGGTGCTGCAACATCTACCTCAGTAATGTTCATCTCCACGGCTCCTGTCCCGCCTTTGTCCAGCGCATGGAAGGCCTCTGGCAAGAACACAAACACCACAGAAGAAGTTGCACATGATTAATACATCCAGCTCCACTCGATCCACTACCACAACACTTCTTCTTCTACTTCTTCCGGCTGTTCCTGTTAGGGTTCGCCACAGCGAATCATCTGTTTCCACCTAACTCTATCCTCAGCATCCTCTACTCTCACCCCAATTAACTTCATGTCCTCTTTTAGCACATCCATATATCTCCTCTTTGGCCTTCCTCTTGACCTCTTCACTAAAGATACTGTCACTACAGTACATTCACTCAAAATACTGTCTGCAGTACTTTCACTGAAGGTACCATATGCAGTACTTTCACTGAAGGTACTATTACTACAG